CTCAAAAATAAACAAACATGAAAAAAATAATATATGTCCTTTTGAATATATACTATACTTCAATAATCTTATTTTAATCTGGGTGCAGACCCCTAAGTCACACCCTTTTTTCTCTATTGTCTCATCTAAACATTTAAAGAATATGTACTTTAAATCATCCTAGAAGATATATATACATACACATACACACAAAGAAAGAAAGAAATCGGCGGGAGGAGCCCGGAGGTGGGTGAATGCCAAAGAAACTCTAGCTTTATTACACAAGCATGGAACCAAATTCCTTTGGAGATGGTGGGGGTGGAATGGCTTCTTCAGACGACTTCAGAGCAATGAGGGAACAAGAGAGATCATGGATCTGCCCCTACAGTCCTGGAGACCTCTCAGTCTGGGGTTAGGAAGAAATGGGACCTCCCTTGCAGTCCAGAGGTCGCCTCCCTCCGCAGACCCGGTGCTGGGAGGCAGCAGAGGGCACAGCTGCCCCGGAGTCCCAGAAGGCGGCGCCGCATCCCGGAGGCGCGGGCCGGGACCGTCTGGTGCTTCTTCGCCGGTAAAGTGCACTAGGGTATGCGGGCCCGGCTCTCTCTGGTTCATCCCTCCAGGCACAACCGGTCCCGGGGCTGGGAGGTCGCGCGGCTGTGGCCCTCATCTCACGCCCAGGCACTGGGACGCGGCGGAGTCTCACCACGGGTTCCAGGTTCACTCCCAGGACTTGGCGCGCTTGGCGCCGCGCTTCTGCCACGCTGCTCTCGACCCACACGTTGCCGACTACGCGGATGCTGGGCGAGGTGGTCAGCGTTGGGGTGGCTGCCCTCCCACTCTCCTCCAGGGTGCGGCCCCCGGAGCTGGGCCCGGGGGCCGTGGGCTTGCTGGGGCTGCTGTCCTCGCGGGACGGCGAAGGCGGTGGCGGCACCTTCCTCTGGCCGGCGGCGACCTTCCGGGCTCCGTGGCGCCTCCTCCTGGCAGCTCGCTGGCGCGTCTGGAGGCGGGCCTCGGGGGGCTGGTGCCGGGGGTCCAGAACCTGGGCCAGGAGGGAGGAGTAGCCATAGACGTCCTTGCTGCGCAGGATGCGGGGGGAGAACTGGTGCTTGAGGCTGCAGAGGTAGCTCCAGAGCTCCGCGTCTGAGCTCATGAACTCCGTGCTGCCGGGCACGAATAGCTTGAAAGCGTCGATCAGCGCCTTGCTGCTGTTGGCCAGCGACAGTGGCGACGGTTGCCACGGCGTGTACACCACCTTCTCCTCAGGCGCCTCCAGCGCGGCCCCTCCTGGAGCGCTAGAAGCTCCTCCCCGGGCGGCCTGGGCCAGGGCCTCCCTAGGCCTGCGCCGCCGCCTCTTCATGCGGCTCAGGAGGTGAGGCCGCTAGGGGCCGCCCGCGCTTGCCAGGTCTCGCCGCCGCCTCCCGGCCCTGATGAATTTCCTACCAGAAGCCAAATCAGGCAGCAGGCTGTGAGAGTTACACCGCAGTTGCTAGGAGACCAGGCGCTTTGTGAGGTCACAATGTCTGCCTATCCTATCACTGCCGGCTGCCCAAAGCTGCCTTAGGTTGGGCTGTGTTTAAGATTATGCCCTTGAGAAACACCTGCACGTAATCTTACCTGAGAAGGCCCGTAGTTCTTGATCAGTTCAAGAGGGTTGTCCTCGACGTGAATGCACTGGTGCCTCAGCCTCCATTAATTCCATCCACCATGAGATGACACTTCGCGGTGGAGAGTACACACAACTTGCAATCAAACATGACTGTAAGAGTATTTTAGCTAATTAAATGCCTTGTCATGCAACGCACTGAAAGCCAAATTGAAGTAACTACTTACTCTTTCAAAGAATACAGATATACTGTGCCTTGCTTAGGGTTCCATATGTGTGTGGGTATAGCTCACAGTTCAGGAAGCTGTTCTTCACAGCAGCAGCAAACAGTTTGCCTAGTTAGGATGCATGCTCACTTTCACGCAGCTTACGGAAGACTGAGTCATTGTGTGCTTAAGAGCAAAGCGTCAATGAATTCTGCGTGAGTGGCCATGAGGGCATTCAGTGCCAATAAAACCTATTCGGTACCTACCAATTCATGATATTTCAGGTAAGTCACACACGAGGTAGTAAAAGACCGTATGGTATTCCAAGGGTAGAAAACGTGTTACACCGTCCGTGTAAGTGCTTTTGAAAGCAACCAGCATGGTCCATCCATCATCACCACATACACAAATAATTCACAAAATATTACAAGGACAACCTACCATGATCAATTGAAATCCACTTCCTCAGGAAAGGATGACACCAAACTATTGTGAATCAATAAAAGGGATAAGTCATGGTAACAATCAGAAGAGACACTTGCCAAGGTCAACGTGATACATGTGAGAGGCCTCTGTGTTTACTCAACTCCTTTTCTTGAACACACAAACCAAACTTTCATCTAGGCAGCTTAAGCCAGTACTACCTCACGTTCAAAATGTACTGAAAATGGAATGCTATCCTCATATTCAGTAAGAGCAACCCTTGAATATGCTTTTTCATTAAATGTCATTTATTTTCAAATTGGTTTCCCCGCAACACCCAGTGTTCATCCCAACAGGTACCCTCCTCAATGCCCATCACCCACTTTCCCCTCTCCCCAACCCCACGTCAACCCTCAGTCTGTTATCAGTATTAAAGAGTCTCTTATGGTTTGCCTCCCTCCCTCTCTATAACTATTTCCCCGCATCACCTCCCCCATGGTCTTCTGCTAAGTTTCTCAGGATCCACACGTGGATGAAAACATATGGTATCTGTCTTTCTCTGCCTGACTTATTTCACGTAGCATAATACCCCCCCGGTTCCATCCACGTTGCTACAAATGGCCAGCTTTCGTTCTTTCTCATTGCCAAGTAGTATTCCTTGGTATACATCAACCACAACTTCTTTATCCACTTGTCAGTTGATGGACAGCTAGGCTCTTTCCATAAGTTGGCTGTTGTTGAAAGTAGTGCTACAAACATTGGGGTACATGCGCCCCTATGTCTCAGCACTCCTGTACCCCTTGGGTAAATTCCTAGCAGTGCTATTGCTAGGTGTTAAGGTAGATCTATTTTTAATGATTTGAGGAACCTCCACACTGTTTTCCAGAGTGGCTGCACCAGGATGCATTCCCACCAACAGTGCAAGAGTGTTCCTGTTTCTCTGCATCCCCCCAGCATCTATAGTCTTCTAGTTTGCTCATTGTAGCCACTCTGACTGGCATGAGGTGGTATCTCAGTGCGGTTTTGCTTTGGATTTCCCTGACGAGGAGTGCTGTTGATCATCTTTTCATGTGTCTCTTGACAATCTGGATGTCTTTTTTAGAACAGTGTCTGTTCAGCCTTTTGCCCATTTCGTCACTGGATTCTTCGAATTCCGGGTGTGGAGTTGGTGATTTCTTTTTACAGGTTTAGGGTACTAGTCAATTATCCAGTATGACTTTTGCACACATCTTTTCCCATTCGGTCAGTTGCCTTTTAGTTTTGTTGATTGTATCCTTCATTGTGGAGAAGTATTTTATTTTGATGAGATCCCAATAGTTCATTTTGCTTTTAATTCCCTTGCCTTTGGAGATGTGTCAGCTAAGAACTTGCTGACGCTGAGGTCAAAGAGGATGTTTCCTGCTTTCTCCACCAGGGTTTGATGGTTTCCTGTCTCACATTCATGTCCTTCAACCATTGTGAGTTTATTTTTGTGAGTGGTGTAAGAAAGTGCTCTAGTTTCATTCTTCTGCATGTTGATATTCACTTCTCTTAGCACCATTTGTTAAAGAGACTGTCTTTTTTTCCATTGGATATTCTTTCCTGCTTTGTCAAAGATTAGTTGGCCATATGTACGTGGGTCCAATTCTGGGCTCTCTATTCTAAGCCATTAAGTCTATGTATTTGTTTCTGTGCCAATACCATGCTGTCTTGATGGTTATAGCTTTGTGGTAGCGGCTAAAGACTGGCATTGTGGTGCCAGTGACTTTGGTTTACTTTTTCAGTATTACTTTGGCTATTCAGGGTCTTTTGTGTTTCCATACATATTTTATGATTGTTTGTTCCAGCTTGGAGAAGAGTGCTGGTGCAATGTGATTGGTGCTGCATATAATGTGAGGACTGCGTTGGGTCGTATTGACATTTCGCCAATATTTATTCTTCCAATCCACGAGCATGGAATGCTTTCGGTTTCTCTGTATCTTCGTCAATTTCCTTCACAAGCCTTCTATAGTTTTCAGAATACAGATCTTTTACCTCTGTGGTTAGCTTTATTCTTAGGTACGTTATGACTCTTGGTGCATTGTAAATGGGATCCGTTTCTTTATTTCTCTTTCTGTTGCTTCATTATTGGTTTATAAAATGCAACCAATTTCTGTACATTGATTTTGTACCCTGCAACATTGCTAAATTCATGTATCAGTGCTAGAGGACTTTTGATGGAGTCTGTCGGAAATTCCATGTATAGTCTTATGCCATCTGCAAAAAGTGGAAGTTTGACTTCATCGTTGCAAATGATGATACCTTTAATTTCATTTACTGTCTGATTACTGATGCTAAGATTTCCAACAATATGTTCAACAACCGGAGAGAGAGTGGACATCTCTGTGTTGTTCCTGAACTCAGGGGGAATGCTCTCAGTTTTTCCCCATTGAGGACGATCTTTACTGTGGGCTTCTGATTAATGGCTTTTATGATGTGTAAAGTAGTTTCTCTCTATCCCAACTGTCTTGAGGGTTTGTTAAGTAAGGATGTGGTATTTTCTCAACTACTTTTTTTCTGCATCTATTGACAGTGTACTATGGTTCTTATCTCTTCTTTTATTAATGTGATGTAGCACAATGATTGATTTGTGAATATGGCACTAGCCCTGCAGGCCAGGAATGAATCCCACTTGATCGTGTTGAATAATACTTTCTATATGCTATTGAATGTGATTTGCTAGTATCTTGTTGAGAATTTCTGCACCCCTATTCTTCAGGGATATTGGCCTATAATTCTCCTGTTTTTCTGTGTCTCTGTCTGGTTTGGGAATCACCGTAATGCTGGCTTCATAAAATGAGTCTGGAAGTTTTCCTTTCATTTCCATTTTTTGGAAAAGCTTGGGAAGGATAGCTATTTTCTCTGCTTTAAATGTCTGCTAGAAATCGGCAGGGAAGCCACCTGGACCAGGACTCTTATTTATTGGGAGATTTTTGATAACTGATTCAATTTCCTCACTAGTTATGGGTCCGTTCACATTTTCTATTTATTCCCGTTTGAGCTTTGGAAGTGTGTGGGGATGGAGGCATTTGTCCATTTCTTCCAGGTTGTTCAGTTTGTTGGCAGAGAAGATTGTATAGTGTTTCCTGATGAATGCTTGAATTTCTGAGGGATTCTTTGTAATAATTCCATATTCATTCGTGATTTGACCTATTTGGGTCCCCTCTCTTTTCTTTTTGCGAAGCCAGGCTAGACGTTTATCAATTTTGTGTATTTTCTCAAAAACACAACTCTTGATTTCATTGATGTGCTCTACTGTTTTCCTTTAGACCCCGTATTGTTTACTTCTGCTCTGATCTTTATACTTTTTCTTCTTCTGCTCGCTTTGGGGGGTCTTTGCTGTCCTGCTTCTAGTTCCTTTAGGTGTGCTGTTAGATTTTGTATTGGGGATTTTTCCTGCATCTTGAGATAGCCCTGGATAGCAACGTTTGTTATTGTAGTTGTTGTTGTTGTTGTTGTTGTTGTTGTTGTTGTTGTTGTTGTTGTGTTTTGGTTTGTTTGTGTTGTTCCCTGTCAGGACTGCCCTTGCTGCATCCCGAAGGGTTTGCATTGTTGTATTTCATTTTCATTTGTTTCCTTATATCTTTAAATTTATTCTCAAATTGCCTGGTTGACCCATTTATTCATTGGTGGGATGTATTTTAACCTCCATGCTTTTGGAGATTTTCCATATTTTTTTCTGTGTTTAATTTAATGTCCCTGCAATTACCACATTCTTCTCAACAAGGTTCTATATGTTTTTAATTAATTGTTTTCTATATTTTTGTGTCTCCAAATTTGTTGTGTAGACATTTAAAATTTTTAGCCCTTCCTGATGGAGAGGCCCTGGAATTAATATAGAAAGCCCTTCGTCATCTTTTGTTACAGCCTTTGATTTCAACTCTAGTTTGTATGATATAAGTTGGCTACTCCAGGTTTCTTTTGACCTCCAGTAGCATGACAGATAGTTCTGCATCCCCTCACTTTCAATCTGAAGGTGCCCTCATGTCTAAAATCAGTCCATTGTAGACAGCAAATAGATGGGTCTTGTTCTGTTTTTTGCTTTGTTTTTTCTATCCATTCTGTTATGCTATGATTTTGGTCGGAGCATTTAGTCCATTGAAATTCAGTGTTATTATGGAAAGATATGCGATTAGAGTCATTGTGATGTCTGTAGG